TTTATTTTAGAAATACGAAGCTTGAATATTTATTTTGTTTATTAAAAGGTACATACTTATATATTTGCACAGCATATAAAATCCTCTTTAAATCAACTTTGGAAAAGACTTCCTCCTTAAAATGGTAATATATACTTAGTGTGAGATATTTATGAGTGCCATCATTCACTCAACATCAGGTGAAAGGCTTGTGGAATGAGATGTCAGTTTGAAAATGAAATTTTTCCGGTGTGATACGTACGAGGGTTATTTTGACGTCATACCTCGGACATCTGGATCATATGTCTCCATCTGAGTTACTTTCGGACCATTGCCTTCCTTCAACCATGACCAATATTTGTGGTCTAACACGAGGTTGCCAAATTAATACTTCCCCATACCCTTTTTTCAATCTTAACGTTTTCAGATTATGGCCAAAGTTTCGGGTTCTGGCCTGGTATAGTAATCTCAAGACTGTATAGCAATGTTATATATTGTCATATATTACTATTTTAGACCGTCTCATATCCAACGAAACCCAACGATATCATCAATAACGAACGCGATCGCCTTGCCCAAAATTCATGAAATCTTTCTGTTTTACAATTGATGAAGGTTAACGTTCTGACCAGGCATACCTCCAAACTCAATATGTTTTATGAGGCATTCTATCTCTTCCATGCCCAGGCAACCACTTGAATAACAAATGGAAAAAGTTCGTGGACAAATTTCGGGCCTCATATACAACAGTTACTATATTGGGCACTCTATTAATACTTTGAGTACGTATCTCACTCGTCATTTGTAGGGAGAGGTAATTAAACACCATCCTTCACTAGACAACAACACCGTCCTTTATTGTCTGGACATCAAAATGAGCACAACAATTATCACGTCTAAAAAATCATGATGTCTAAAAAAAAAAAAGGCAGAAGACCATTTTCTTCATTCTGACCAAAAAGATTTTCTCATTCAGCTTAATTCGCTGGTTCCGTCAATTAAACTCACAATAGACAATGAAGAGAATGGTGTTCCGCCTTTTATCGACATCATGATTAATAGACTCAGCAGGAGTTTCAAATTCCGTGTGTATAGGAAAGCTACCAATGTGTGTGCCCGTATGTTCATTTTTACTCAAATCATCATGTTCATGTTAAACAGGCAGTATTTTCTAAAATGTTTCTCAGAGTAATGAGAGTTTGCAGCCCGGATTATTTTGATGAAGGAATAACAAAAATATTTGATATTGGGAAGAAGTTAGAATACCCAAAATCGATCTAGGGTTTCGCGTTAAGTAAAGCAAAAGGGACATTTTACAAATAAGCTCCCAAGTCTTAGCCAGAAATAAAAAGTTCGTTGGTATTACCGTATTTTGATGGACTAGTAAATCCAGACTATTAAACTAGTAGTAAATTTTTCACTTGTGGTTTTTCCGCATATATATATATATATATATATATATATATATATATATATATATATATATATATATATATATATATATATATATATATATATATATATATATATATATATATATATATATGTGTGTGTGTATATCACGAAAATAAACACGTGATTAAGAATGTGACAATGTCAGACCACGAAGGAAAATGAAACAGGAAATTTCCTTAAGTACTTTCGTATATTAAATACGAAAGATTTGGACCTTCTGAAGATGTATTTAATATACGAAAGTACTTAAGGAAATTTCCTGTTTCATTTTCCTTCGTGGTCTGACATTGTCATATATATATATATATATATATATATATATATATATATATATATATATATATATATATATATATATATATATATATATATATATATATATACAACCCGTTCTCGCACTTTCGTATAGTCAATATTGACTTATTAAATACGGGCATAAGTGACATACTAAACATACTAGTTTACCTTGAAAAGCTTCGTAGAAAACACTGACCTTACCTAACCTTTTTAGTATGTTAAGATAAGCATCTTATTGCTTCGTAATTACAATTATTAATTAACCTATACCTATAATAGGTTAAGTAATAATTGTAATTACGAATCAATAAGATGTTATAACTGAAAATTCCACACCCCAAAAGTGACTGGAACCCAGACAGCCAGGAGCACTATGCAACTGGTGTGCATGGTACCTTAACCACTCGACCAACTGTGACCGTACAATAGACCATGGTAGCCGAGGCTATTTCCCCCACCGTCCCAACGGCACTTAGTGGTAATCTTTGGCATAGTTATTTCATCCCGTATATTTCAGTCGCATATATGCTTGGGGACCATTCCTGCTTGTTAGCATATATATATATATATAAATATATATATATATATATATATATATATATATATATATATATATATATATATATATATAGATGTGTGTGTGTGTATATCACGAAAATAAACACGTGATTAAGAATGTGACAATGTCAGACCACGGAGGAAAATGAAACAGGAATTTCCTTAAGCACTTTCGTATATTAAATACATCTTCAAAAGGAATGAAGATTAAATACATCTTCCTTCTGAAGATGTATTTAATATACGAAAGTACTTAAGGAAATTCCTGTCTCATTTTCCTCCGTGGTCTGACATTGTCATATATATATATATATATATATATATATATATATATATATATATATATATATATATATATATATATATATATATATATATATACTAGCTGTACCCGGCCACGCGTTGCTGTGGCTCAGCAACGCGTGTGCGTTGCTGAGCCGCAGCAACCTTTCCCTATCCCCCACGCAGTCCACCCCACCATTCCCCTGTTACCTATCCCTTCGTCCTCACAACCACTCCCCCGTCCCCTTGTCCTCCTAACCATTCCCTCTCCCCTCCCCGTCCCATTTTTCCTCCCCGCCATCCCCCACCCCATCGTGCCCTCGTCCTCCCCACCATCTCCAACTCTCCTGTCTCCTCGTCCTCCTTACCATTCTTTTCTCCCCCATCCCATCGTCTTTCCCACCATCCCCCACTCCCCTGTCCCCTTGTTCTTCCCTGCCCTTCTCCATTCTCCTGTCCTCTCGTCCCCACCATCCCCAACTCGTCCATCCCCTCGTCTTCCTCGCCATTACCCCCTCTCCCCTGCCCCTCGTCTTCCTCGCCATTACCCCCTCTCCCCTGCCCCTCGTCTTCCTCGCCATTACCCCCTCTCCCCTGCCCCTCGTCTTCCTCGCCATTACCCCCTCTCCCCTGCCCCTCGTCGTCCTCGCCATTACCCCCTCTCCCCGGCCCCTCGTCTTCCTCGCCATTACCCCCTCTCCCCTGCCCCTCGTCTTCCTCGCCATTACCCCCTCTCCCCTGCCCCTCGTCATCCTCACCATTCCCCACTCCCTAGTCCGATGCATTCCCAAATGATCTGATGTTCCCATCAGAAAATTGGAAACATCAAATTATATGATATTTTCATCACTGAAAAATAAGAACAGTTAAAAAACGATATTAAAAACTGAAAAAAAAGTAAAAAAATAAATTATACCCACGAAATGAACGGTATGGTAAACAACACAGCTCAATTCCAACACAATGTCACACTAAATAAATGAATCAAAATGAAAATAAATCGAAATGTAGGAAAATTCAATTTATCAATGAAATCAGAAACCTGAAATAGAATCGAGAGATATTTAGTATATCGTGTGTTGCTCTTACGTGCAGCAAATGGCGCTGTTAACAAAAAAAATTTTACCTGTCACAGGTGTGGCATCGATACTTATACTCACGAAATGAACGGTATGGTAAACAACACAGCTCAATTCCAACTCAATGTCACACAAAATACTTAAATCAAAATGAAAATAAATCGAAATCTAGGAAAATTCAATTTGTCAATGCAATCAGAAACGTTGAAATGGAATTGTAACATAATTAGTATATCGTGTGTTGCTCTTATGTGCATCAGATGGCGCTGTTTCTTAAAAAAAAAAATATTTTTACATGTCACTGGTGTGGCATCTATACTTTTACCTGCGAAGTGAACGGTATGGTAAACAATACAGCTTAGTTCCAACGCAATGTTACTAAAAATAAATAAACCAAAATGAAAATAAATCGAAATCTATGAAAATTAAATTTATCAATGCAATTGGAAACATTGAAATGGAATCGTAAGATATTTAGGATAACGTGTTGCTATTACATGCAACAGACTGCGCTGTTTTTCAAAAAAGCATGTTTTTACCTAACACAGATGTGGCATCTATATAGTACGTATATAAAAACATTCACGTATTCGAATGGAATGTTGTGTCCAAATTTCTAAGCAATTGGTGAATAACTTTCGGAGATTAAAGCGTGTGTTGCTTTTACGTCCAACAAATGGCGCTGTTTAAAAAAAAACATGTTTTTTCCTGTTACAGGTGAGGCCTCAGTATAGTAGTTATATAAAAACATGTGTCTATATGAATGCAACGTTGTGTCAAAATTTCAAAGCAATCGGTAAAGAGGTTTCGAAGATTTCCCTCACATGAAATACACTTGAAAAACACAGTTTTTCAGAAAAAGCATGCTTTTTTCCGGTCACAGACGTGACATCTATAAAGTATGTATATAAAAACCCGCTCGGATGCGAATGGAATGTTGTGTGAAAATTTCAAGGCAATCGGTGAAGAACTTTCGGAGATTAGCGATTTTGAACAAACGAACATTTCCATTTTTATTTATATAGATGTATATATATTAAATAATTATATATTCCGAGAAAGGACATTCGCTACATGGGGAGTATCACTCGTTTGTTATTATCAAATAAGTAAATTGATCATTTCCTCTCTGATATCTTTTTTTCCATTTCACACTAAATATTTTTGTGTGAGAATAAATTTTTTGATGAAAGATTTTTCATTTAAAATTATAGACAAACTATTTTAAAGTTTTTTCTAAAGTTTCAGTACTTCATTGGGTGGCTTCGTTTGGGATTTGTAGCAGGTGTAAGCGAAGTGGACGTCAGTATATAAAGTGGAAGCTACTCCCTCCTCATCACAGACGTCCAGCAACAGTATTTGAGTGAACATGGCCCCTCTGCTGTTGTGGTGCCTGGCTGTGGCCAATCTTGTGGCTGTGGACTCGTGTGCCCAGGTAACTCACCACCAACAGGCCACTCGCCTGGTAGTTTACACTTGAACTGGAGTTTGTTTTCCAGCCCAATACATGCAACGGCTCCACATCAGTTAGGTTGCATGGCAACATGTTCCAAATATCATTTAACTTAGTTCCTAAATAATTATTAACCAATTTATATATGCATATAAACTTACATAATTTATATACGTTTTGTGTTCAACTGTTAGATTGTTCTCTTTCAACATTATTCTCTTTCAACAACACTAACGTTACGAATCCATTTATTTGAGATTATTAGATTTTGGCTTAGATCGAGCTAATTATTATATCTGGATTTGTTTATTGATATATACATTCACTCAAATGATCACATCTAAACACCCACAGTCACGCGCATCTACACACACACCCTGAGGATGGGGGGGGGGGGGGCGGAGGGGTTGCCTCGCGGCTGAGTGGACAACGCTCTTGGGTCGTTATCCTAAGGGCCCGAGTTCGATCCCCGGCAGAGGCAGAAATAAATGGACAGAGTTTCTTTCACCCTGATACGCTTTTCACTTAGCAGTAAATACGTACCTGGGGGGCTAGACAGCTGCTACGGGTTGCTTCTCGGGGATGTTTGTGTGTTAGAGAGAAATATATGTAGTAGACATTAGTGGAAACATAAATTGGTTACTAAGACGGGGTCCAAGAGTTAATAGCTCGATTCTGCAGATACAAATAGTAAACACACACACACACACACACACACACACACACACACACACACACACACACACACACACACACACACACACACACACACACACACACACACACACACACACACACACACACAAATCCAAATTCCGAGATCCAAGAGTCAATGCTCGATCCTGCAAGCACAAATAGGTGAGTACACATACACATTACACTGTGGGACTCCCTGTGGAGTCCCACAGGGCTCTGTACTCGGTCCTATCTTGTTTCTGATATATGTAAATGATCTCCCGGAGGGAATAGATTCATTTCTCTCAATGTTTGCGGACGATGCCAAAATTATGACAAGGATTAAGAGAGAGGAGAACTGCTTGTGGCTTCAAGAAGACCTAGACAAGCTGAAGGAATAGTCAAACAAATGGTTGTTAGAGTTTAACCCAAGCAAATGTAATGTAATGAGACAGGTGTAGGGAGCAGGAGGCCAGATGCAAGGTACCATTTGGGAGATGAAATACTTCAAGAGTCAGAGAAAGAAAAAGACTTGGGGGGTTGATTCACGCCAGACCTGTCTCCTGCAGCCCATATCAAGAGGATAACATCAGCGGCATATGCCAGGCTGGCAAACATAAGAACGGCATTCAGAAACTTGTGTAAGAAATCATTCAGAACTTTGTATACCACATATGTCAGGCCAATCCTGAAGTATGCAGCCCCAGCATGGAGTCCATATCTAGTCAAGGTTAAGACCAAACTGAAAAAGGTTCAAAGGTTTGCCACCAGAATAGTACCAGAGCTGAGAGGTATGAGCTACGAGGAGAGACTACGGGAATTAAGCCTCACTTCGCTGGAAGACAGAAGAGTTAGGGGGAGACATGATCACCACATTCAAGATTCTCAATGGAATTGATAGGGTAGATAAAGACAGTCTATTTAACACAAGGGGCACACGCACTAAGGGACACAGGTGGAAACTGAGTGCCCAAATGAGCCACAGAGATATTAGAAAGAACATTTTTAGTGTCAGAGTGGTGGACAAACGGAATGCATTAGGAAGTGATGTGGTGGAGACTCCATACACAGCTTCAAGTGTAGATATGATAGAGCCCAATAGGCTCAGGAACCTGTACAGCTGTTGATTGATGGTTGAGAGGCGGGACCAAAGAGCCAGAGCTCAACCCCCGCAAGCACAACTAGGTGAGTACAACTAGGTGAGTACACACACACATCCTAGGATGCAGCCCCTAGCAGACATCTAACTCCTAGGTAGCTGTTTACTGCTAGGTGAACAGAGGCATCGGGTGAAGGAAATTCTGCCTATTTTGTTCTGACTCGGTCGGGAACCGTACCCGGGGCCCTTCGGCCTACGACTCCCGAGCGTTGTGCTAATAGCCATGTTAGGAACATAAGGACGGAAGAGACAGTATTAACTAGAAGGTGTCATAGCCTGGTGCATAGGTCGGCCTCAGGAGTCCTCGAGGGCTGCAGGTCGGACCTAAGACCATTTGGTCAGTCTTCTTTTATTATTTATATTATTGTTGTTTTTCTTATATTTAATATGGATCCTTTCGACGATTTCAGTGAATGTGATCTTGACTAAATGTCTTTTTGAAACAGTTAACAGAATCGAGCCTTTAGCCTTGGGCGTAGCCTGTTCCATCTGTCGTCATTCCTTCTGAGGTCTCTGTTTAGTTTCATATCTGATATTAAAACCAATGATGCATGTAGCCACTTTTATTTGTCATACTAACAATGAAGAAGTGTTTCCTTACGTCCCAGTGGTCCACTTTCATTTTGCTCTTCTCAGTACGTCTTTTTCGTTAAGTTGCTGCTCAATCTTAATTTTGCACTTATAACTTATTTATCTGCACTCAGTCCTATTTGGTATTCAAGCTTCCTAAGGTTAAGGTTCCCAGTTATTCACAATAGTTTTGTTCCTACAATTATTTTACTACTATTGTGCTACTCGATGGACTTTCTCATAATTATTCTTTTTTGTTTAAGCTTTACCTCCACTCTGGTGCAGCGTGTTTTAACACTCTTTGGATAATTGTTGCAAATAACGATGGGAAATTATAATTTTCAAGTTTCTGAAGGTTATCCCTATGACTGACCAATTTAGCCAATGGTGAAACAATTATTTTATATTTTTTTGGCTGCAATGTTGTGGGGTTGGATCTCCATTGGTGTTGCTAGCGAGGATCTCCACAGGTGTTGTAGGGAGGGATCTCCACAGGTGTTGTAGGGAAGGATCTCCACAGGTGTTGTAGGAAAGGATCTCCACAGGTGTTGTAGGGAGGGATCTCCACAGGTGTTGTAGGGAGGGATCTCCATAGGTGTTGTAGGGAGGGATCTCCACAGGTGTTGTATGGATGGATCTCCACAGGTGTTGTAGGGCACCCCGTTCTCGCACATGCTCATAGTCAGTATTTGGCTTATTAATAAGTGCATATGTAACATACTAATTTATTGTGAATATTTGAGTTTTCCCTGAAAAGCTGAATAGAAAACACCGAACTAACTTAACCTTCTTTGTATGTTAAGATAAGCATCTTATTGCTTTTTAATGACAATTAGTACTTAACTTATACCTAAATTGATATTAAAGTTTTATAAAAATAATATAATAAAACTAAAATATTTAAATAAATTGTAAAGTAACTCAGGATATTGTCAAAATTTTGTATAAAATCTCTAATGTTTAATCAAACTGAAAACGAAATTCCAAATATTAAAACTGGTGTGTAGGAAGAGTTTGAACCTTGAAAAAAAAATATAACTTGAAATATACCACATATGTACTTATTAATATGCCAAATATTGACTATAAGCAACAAGTCATATATGTACTGTCTTATGCGAGAGCGGGTTGCGTAGGGAGGGATCTTCACATGTGCTGCAAGCTAGGGGAATCTCCAATCTCCACAAATGTTGGAGGCGAAGGCCTCAACAGGCAATGTTAGCGAGGAGTTCAGCAAATATTTTATGCGCGGATCTCCAGAGGTGTTTATAAGGGGGTGATGGAGGCTAGAATGCCCAGAAGTGTTGAAACTGTATGAAAAGACGTTTGTTGAACCCCTCACAATATTAGAGTTAAATTATCAATAACTTTCCCAGCTCTTAAAATATTACTGGTCATAATAATGATGACATCATAACGAATTAAATAATTTTAACACTATATCAGTATTAAGAGATAATGTTATCTTTATGTTCTCCTCACCAGGACCCAGAGGCTCCTCCGACACCTATCATAATGAACCAGGTAAGCATAAAAACATGCCGATGTCTGCCACCGGATTTACAGAGAAACACTTACCAATTTTCAGCTTTGGGGCTTGGTGCCCCTATGATCGTACAGGTGGTTACTATATGCTAGGGGGGTCATCCTGGGCAACTGGGGTTCGAATCCTGATAGGGTCAAAAAGAGTTCTTAGTTCTTAGTTCTTTATGGCTCGCGCGTTCATGCAGCCTTTGTGTATAGAAATTCAAAACTAACATAGAAATTTGATAAAATCTAACCTAACCTAACATAACTTACCACAACGTAACATAACTGTCAGTAATTCAAGTTCCTAGAAAAATAGATTAATATTGTTTGAAAAGAACCAATCTGGAAAGAAATATTTCAAAATGCCGAAAATCATACGGCCTGTTAAGCAAATTGAACTCTGCATACTAGGCTAAGTAGTGTGGTTCTGGCTATTAGGCACAACACATCGCCGAAAAGAGTGAATTAAGACTTTTATTTGTTATCATATTAAGTTATATTAAATGAAAACTGATTTATATGTGTACTTTTAGGTTAACAATACAAACAGTTAACTTTATCTGACAGCTCAAGCCACAGTCACGGCTCACCAGACTGGGTGCAACATACCATGGGTGCCTGAAACAAACAAATCATCGAAGTATTTTAACACATAATCCACCACTGAATTTATTATTGTTTTAACACATCGGCTTGAAACGATAAATCTCTTTGTTATTATGTAATATTACGAAGTTATTTTTATAGCTAATGACTTTCAAATTAAATGAAATATATGAAAATACGGAATAATCATATTTCATATTAAAAATATTTCAGAACTCATTCAGCTACTATACTGATACCCCTCTTAATTTCGTGCGCTGGATAGCCTACACAAATGTATATAAACGAGCTTAGCGAGTTTATATCGCTAAGCGTTTAGTAATCCTCATTCGAATTTCCCCATATCGGTCATTCGTTACACACGGATACGAGGCACCTTTGTCAGCACAACTGTAAAAAATCTCATGTGAGTCACTAACAAATTTTAGGACGTCCTATTTTCCAAACTCATCTATTGGTAAAGGTTTTAAAATTATTTCATCTCTATTTTAGGAAGGCGGAGTGAACACTGTGACGCCCATCATCATGAATGAGGTAAGTTCATCAGGGCATTAGAAAGTCTCCTGACTTCAACCTCAGCTATAAGGTGAGGTCAGATCGTCTTCTGGCTTCTGACTTCACCTTACAGTAGGAAGGTTTATCTGGGTACTGAAGGTCTTCAGACCCCACGTTATTTTAGGTCACTCTTTCAATGCCACGGAGGTCTAAAAACCTCATTTAATTCATAGAACGTACTTAGTATCATAACATAAGCAGCTGATGATATCCGATTGACAGGTTTTGTAGGACTTCTATCTCTATTTTTTTTTTGTCTAGATGAGTGGTTTCTTTACCGTTTGAGATCTTATGCTCGCCTAATTGTTCCTAGCATCTAGCTTCATTATTTTGCATTTGGTTGCATTTAACTCTGCTAATCCCTTGTTAACCTGTTCTTTCAGTTTCTCTAGATTTTCTTCTAGTTTCTTAGGCAATCTTCACCATATGTATCAATCTCATGAATTTTCCCTCTGTTAAAGATTTTGAGAGGAAGGATTTTATCCGCTTTATTAGATCAGTTACTTAGATCAAGAAGGAGAGGTCGTTTCGAAGACTTTCTCCTCAATCCGAACATATGTCGTCTGCTTTTTAGTTACTCCCTTAAAAATTTGAGTAAATATGTATCTAACATGGGCAATAGTCCCATATGGGATTGGATGGGATAGTTGTTACAGAAGCTCCCTCACTAAAGTATACCCAAACTTCTCTATTACCCCGAAATAAATATTGAGTTTGATAACCTCATTGAGGTATTTTTCTCATCAAATAATACAAGTAAACCAAATTAAGTTACCCAACAATATTTTAGCACGCGAGTCAGTTTTTGATTCATCTCGAGTTGAGAAATACCCAATAACCATATATTAGTTTAAATAGTACACTTAATTAACATCCTGACCAAATACCTACACCCAGGTGTAGATGCAAAACAAAATACAAATTCTGTGGCAGGTGATAATGTTGTTATGGTCCATGTCTGTGTCTGCAGGGACCAGAGCAGCCCAGCCCTGGCATCACAGTCATCTCAGGAAGGAAGAGGAGAGCCGCGGTTCATCCAAAAAGAAGTGTATGTATTGTTTTCCCAGTGTTTGATTACATGGCCTGGTGTTGACTTTTTAAATCCTGTTGATAGTTACATAGCCTGGCTATATAACAATGTGTTTGGTTATATTTCAGGTTTTATGGTTACATAGCCTGGGTTTGGCTGGATAATCATGTCTTTGGTTATATAACAAAGTACACGCAGTACTCGCAGTACAACCATGCAACAACCGTTGCATGGTTGTACTGCGTGTTGTTTGCTCATATACCCTGTTCCTGACCTATTTAGTCTGGTATTGAGTTATATAGTTCCTTAGCTAATGTATGATTTGTATATCATTTTGTATGGTCTTATAGTTAATTTCTATGGTATATAAACAGTTTCGTACACACACGCACACACACACACACACACACACACATATATATATATATATATATATATATATATATATATATATATATATATATATATATATATATATATATATATATATATATATATATATATATATATATATATATATCCCCCAGACTTTTCTGGGGGCTATATATCCTACATTTTTTATTTTCATTTCTAGCCAGTTGTGTATTTATGATGCGCACTTTGTGGTTATCGTGCCTGTTGTGAGGTTCAGTAGCTTATAATCAGTGGTTATAAAGCATGTTTTGTGGTTATATAAACTGTTGTGTAGTTAAAATGACTTCTGCATGGTAATATAGCATTGTGTTTCGTTTGAAAGCTTTTATAATCAACCTTTTTGAATTGAATCTATTCCATAGCATCTTTGAATTTTACCAATTTGTTTATGTTCTGCTTCAATGAGTAGTTATGATGCCTGTTTCATAGGCATATAGCATCTTGCATGGCAATGGTCTATTGTTTAGCAGTATTACATAGAATGTGGTTAAATATCCTGACATATGCTCGACAAAAATAGTTCCTTTTATAATTATCTAATGACTGGCTTGTGTGTGGCGTCTTATTTTGACCTGGATGCATAATCTGTCATGTAATTGCAAGATTTACACAGTGGTTGCATAAATAAACGGTGGGACTTTTAATCCCACCGTTTATATTTGAATAAAAAATCAAATACAAACCCTCAAAATACAGCTAATGCCACCTTCCACCTGTTGGAAATATAGTAAAATATATGAATTTTCTTCAGATACTTTTGAGGTTTTAATCATCAATGTCCATCACATGTTCGATTAAGAATTATGAAATTGAAGTTTGCATTCGGTTTTGCATTTAATTTATGTTATCAAGAAAGAAATGGTGAAAGAGAGAGAGAGAGAGAGAGAGAGAGAGAGAGAGAGAGAGAGAGAGAGAGAGAGAGAGAGAGAGAGAGAGAGAGAGAGAGAGAGAGAGAGAGAGAGAGAGAGGGAGAGAGAGAGAGAGAGATACTCAACTTTTTCTTCTTCTCAGGACAAAGGGTTCGAGTACACCAACCCAGACATTGTGGACGGTCGGCCGCTCTACCAGAAGGACATAATGTTGACGCCCCAACAGTGGCAAGCTTTGAGGGAGAGGAAGGCCATTGCTGACCTAACTTACCGCTGGCCAGCTGGACCCGACGGCCTCCCTCTGGTGCCTTACACTGCAAATAGTCCAGGTAAGTGAAGTGTGACAGAGACTCAGTGGGTTCTCGGTTTCAAAAAGTTCGCAGATTATAAACAGTTTATTTATTTATTAATAATTTAGTTTATTTATTGCTCACCCCATCCCCCTTCCTGTGATTGATAGTTAAAAGTGCAAGAGAGGCACATAATGAACTTAAGAACTAAACCCCACACTTAGAATACTTTGCAAAGTAATTATAGAATTAATTAACTCATTTCATGGTTTGTTATCGTGTACGTCAATAGTTAATTCAATTAATCATGAGGCGCTAACAGAGATAATGAGAGACTGAGTTAGCTAAACATTTCGATAATAGACCTCAAACCAATCCTCCGGTTGTGACAAAAAGGTTTTAACGGCTCATTATGGGTCTAAGTACCGGACCCCAAAAATCTTCAAGTCAAGCAACTTACATTTGCGGTGAGTCAGTTACGAATAATTTGTAGTGACAGTCACATACACGCACTACCTATAGTAGACAAACTTGCGATGCTTGGCAAAGATAATTCGTGGAACATAGTTCTGAATGAAATACACATTTCTTGCACGTTTTTATAAAGCTGTTTTAAAATTATTTAACACACACGCATACATTCGCATATACACATTTGTCAGTTTCTAAATACATTCTGTGTCCAGTGGACGTGACGGCGGTACAAGCAGGACTGCAACACTGGATGGACAACACCTGCATCAAGTTTACACAGACCACCAACACCAGCCAACCTTATCTCAGGTTCATAGTGGGTACTGGATGCTGGTCCTACATTGGACGCATATATTACTGGAATGGTCAAGACATCTCAATTGGCACCGGCTGTACTTCTGTAAATGAAGCTTTTATTGTACCTTAGCTTAAGCACTACGAACAAGTCTCTTACAAATTATATCATTATAAGCATTTCATTGAAAGGCATTTACAATTTGATTTTGTTTTTTAACTGACTATAATAGCAAGTATCCCGAAATACCGTGTAATAATCTATTTAGGAGCCAGACGTCAGTCCCACTCTCTCCTGTCAGGTGGGCACGGTGGCTCATGAGGTTGGGCACGCTATGGGCTTCTATCACGAGCAGTCCCGCCCTGAACGAGACGACTACGTTAATATTTTGTATAGCAACATAATTCCTGCCCAAACGAGCAATTTCGATAAGGCCGCCGACAATATGGTCAACAACTACAGCGTTCCCTACGACTACACTTCAGTGATGCACTACGGCTCCACGGTAAGCTGTCTGTGTTGTTATTACTTCCGTCACTACTGATGGAATACACTGAGGGGTTAAATAGCGAGACACTTACAGGTACTAACGGTATCATTACTGGCTAATGTTATTTTTTTCAGTACTTTACCAATATCGGAGCTCCGACCATCAGCACCATTGACCCCTTTGCCCAGGGTCTGATAGGCCAGCGAACTGGTCTTTCTCACCGGGACAAACTTCTGGCCAATCTTATGTACAACTGCACCGGTGAGTGGGACGAGTGGTACAGGCTTGTTGTTGGTACACTGTTCACCCGCGTGGTCGTGGCTTGGTGTTGTCACTATCATTTATACACCTGGTGAATAATACATATACTCTACACCACTTTAACCCTACTCCCAGAGTTTTCTCAGTCTGTTAGCTGCAAATGTCAGATTCACCTTTGGATAAACACCTTTGATCCACCAAGGAAACCACCCGGCGGAAACCGGGTGTGGTCCTGAAGCGGATGCGTTTGGTCTTAAAGGTGGACCATACTCATCCGCCTTCAGGCACTTAAGTGCCCGCGACTGTCCATGGATGCAACACTATGAACATGGAGCTCAAAGTCGCATCAAGCAACTTTAAAGGGAATAATTTCGTTAACAATGCCATGATTGACCTCGTCTCGTTATTTCCTGTCTCACTTGCTGCAGGTCGTACCTCCGCTGATATCCTTCTAGAGTTCTTCATTCTAAATTGAATCCTTCTTTTGCTCTGATTAGTTGGATGAAGATCATAGTCCTCTTATATAAATCTACCTCCTATTAGGGGTTAATACACCGTTTTCTATCTATTTTCTATCTGTTTTCTAAATTTTATGCAATAGTTTTTCTATTCCAGCTTAAGATCTTCTTTAAATACTATTCATTTATAACTTCCTCTCACCCTCCATGATATTTTGAACTAGTATTAAAAGTCATGCTAAATTCAAGAACTATAAAGGGACCTTTTCTAATTTAATGATCCACTGCTACGGTTTCTTTACAGTTTGAGTAGAGTTAATTAGTTAAAACATAATATTTTTATATGTAAATTGGATAATGACCGGAATGACAGTTTATATGTAGCAAGGAAATATGGGCATTGCAACTTCAGGTTTCACGCTCATTTTAAATGTCTCTTCATGAAATATTTAAGCACGTGAAGGTCTCACATCAGCTGTTTAAGGTATAACATTTCATCAACACAAACAACCATGGTGATTAGGTTAGCTTAGCATTTTAAAAGCACTATGCAATCACCTTCTGTGGTTGATTGTTCAATAAATCCTTGCACTCTATGTTTAGCATTTCTCTCACCCTTTCCATGGAGGACAGAAGAAAATGTATAAATGCTGGTTAGCATTGTAAATGTGTGGCCACGTCTGTGGTAGAAAATAATAATAATTAAAAAAACCATGGTGATTAAGCCTCAAAAGAGGTCTAAGTATACTTCTGTGTCTTCTCAGGAAAGTGGCTGGCTGCGTGTGGCAAAACCTCAAACCCGTGTCTGAACACCGGCTACCTCGGGGTCAACTGCATGTGTGTGTGTCCCCCTGGCACCTCCGGCACCTATTGTCAGTCAGTTACTAGTGGATATTACGGTAAGAAGACCCTTCCATGTATATATATATATATATATATATATATATATATATATATATATATATATATATATATATATATATATATATATATATATATATATATATATATATATATATATATATATATAATGTGTGTATTGTGTATTGTGTATATATATATATATATATATATATATATATATATATATATATATAATGTGTAATGTGTATATATATGTATAATGTGTGTGTATTATATTCCTTCATTCATACATTTTTGTCCAATATGCAAATGCCAACTCAACCGTGGCAATGATGCTGTAAATTACAGGTCATGAGGACTTACAGATGATGAGATCTTATCAAACAACTACTATATAATACAATATTTGCACTGGTATCAACCTATCAACGAAGGTCTATTGTCAACAGCGAATATGAAAAACGTGTTCTCAGGCATAACTCACAATCCCAGCTCTACTACCATTAACACACCAAAATAACTCACAACCCCAACACTACAACTATTAATCCAAAACAACCACTCACAAATCCAATCCATTAGTCCACATCAACGATTCACAAGCCCAGCTCTGCTTCCTTTAGCCCACAACAACGTATATACCCACCACAAATACCCACCATATTCTAATACCGGCCCACCAGCAACGGACAACAGTTATCCAGCGACCAACCATACCTTATTGCCATAACACCCTCTACTAACTACTAAACATCCAACAACCACAATCAATTGTTACATCCCATATGCAGCAATTTCAGACCCATCATTAGCGCAAAAAATTACTTACTGTCGTCGACCAGCTGTAAATGATCCATCAACCACAATTTACTATAACTTACAATTTATTATAACAATTTACTATAATTTAGATTTAAATGCTATGACCTCATTTGTAACGACAAAACAACCACCAGTCAATGACGACTTCATAAAACATTTATAACGACTGCGATGTAATATATCAACAGCAACTCAAAGACCGGCAACTAATCTTAAATATATTTCATGGCAGATCCTCTACTACAGTCATGCTCAAGGAAGATCAACACTACAGGTGTCATCACCTCTCCCAACTACCCCAATAATTATCCCAACGGTGAGGTATTTCTGTGTTATGTCTCCTTACCTCTCACGATGACTCTCTCTCACCTTCGTCTCTCTCTCTCTCTCTCTCTCTCTCTCTCTCTCTCTCTCTCTCTCTCTCTCTCTCTCTCTCTCTCTCTCTCTCTCTCTCTCTCTCTCTCTCTCTCTCTCTCTCTCTCTCTCTCTCTCTCTCTCTCTCTCTCTCTCTCTCTCTCTCTCTCTCTCCCCCCCATCTTTACCTCTCAATAACCACTGATTGGCAACAGCAATTGCTTACTGACCAACCACCATATATACATTAGATCTGATAATAATCTAGGGACATCCGCTCTCTCTCTCTCTCTTCTAATAACTCATCTCCAACAATTATGCCTTCGACAGGCTCAAGATGCTCCTACGTGATCCAGGCTCCTCAGTGCTACTATCCTCAAGTCACCTTCAGCAGCTTCCAGCTGTACGGACGGAATTCTTACTGCAATAACAATCTCTGCTGCTACTTCGACTACCTGGAGATCAGGACCACCAACACCTCCTCCGGCCAACTGTAAGTTGAAAGAAAATGTACAATACTGTTCACTTCATTGAGGACACTCACTCGGCTCGGTGAAAATTATCGTCTCGTGCTGCAAATGAAGGAATTATATTCGAGTCAATCTTGTCTTCAGCCTGATTACACCACCACAGATCAAGTCAGATTGGAAGGTTTATTTCCCTCATTGGTCTGGATATTTTCCATTAGGAAGGAACACGTGACGTCTTAACAAAAGCTACTGAAATGAGTGAGAAAAGGTTGAATAGGATCATTTTAATGAAATTCCTCTTCTTGTCCCCTACTACACCTACCAATCTCCAATCTCCACTGTAAATGACCCAACCTCAATCTCCACAACCCCAACAAGAACTGCCATAACCGTCACAACCACTAGTACTACTACACCAATACACTACTAATACTAGTGTACTACGCAACACCATTACTACCTCCCACACCACTTTAACAATTTCCATATACTTCTCCCTTACAACCCCCTCCCCCCCCCCCCAATATTAAAATCACTGCTACCACCTCAAACACCACAATTTAATACTATTTTTGCATAATCTGTGTCAGGGTCCAAAATCCTCGGCGTCCTCACTTACTATACCTAATTCGGACATTTTCATTACATGACAAGATCCAGAAACATTTATTATATCCGTTTGCAGGTACTGCGCGACGGACATTGCTGCGGGCCAGGTGTTTACAGCGTCCGTGAACCCGATGATTCTCTTCTTCACCACTGAGAGTAATTACTACACTGGATGGTCGGCCAACGTGTCCTTCGTTCCAATTCCGGGTTGCACGTGAGTGATCCTCCGCCTTACTCTTACGGTTCTAATCACAAAAAATAATAAGTTTTCAGATGACTGTGAAAAAAGCTTACCTGTAGCTTATATGTTGCATGATCTCACTTTGACTTCCAGACACACAGTGCAACTACTCGGGCTGGACGGTAGAACAACGGTCTCGCTCCATGCAGGTCGGCATTCAATCTCCGACCGTCCAAGTGGTTGGGCACCAATCATTCTCCCCGTTCCATCACAAATCATAATCCATATCTCTTCCAAGTGCTATATAGTCGCAATAGTTTGGCGCTTTCTCCTGATAATTTCCTTCCCCCTTCCAGACACACAGCTTATTAATAAAATATTGACTTCATAAATAAGTATTGGATGAAGTAAAACGTTAAAATGCATCTCAATAATAAAGGCAATGCAGACATTGAATCACAATAACGTGGCTGAAGATATGATGACCAAACCACATGTCAGAAAATGGAGAAACGACTTAATAATGGCTCAAAGGAAACAATCCAGTACGAAATGAACTCGGGACCTAAGACACTGACTCGACTACGCTTGCCACTATGCCATAGAATTTCCATTCACACCAAAATATCACTTCTGTAGCTTAATCCTAGATCTTCTTGAACATAAGATTCACGTTCCGGTTGTAATTAAAAAAATTGTATAATAATCGGCTAGTTATATCTATTGAACCAACAATTCCTGTTTCTCTTACCTCCTCATTTTCCAATTACAATCAACTGTACAGAGTTGTTTGTCCCCGATTCCCACTATTCCCATTATTCCCATTACCTGTTTGATACCATATTGTTGTTTAAAAAAATATATATATATATATATATATATATATATATATATATATATATATATATATATATATATATATATATATATATATATATATATATATATATATATATATATATATATATATATATATCAATTTGCTCAATATTTTCAGGTGTAAATTCGTTTTAATTTCTTATTCCTTTATCTTTGAGACGACGGCAATAGGATATTTTATAAATTTATATTTTCTTCCAAAAGAATTCACAAAGTGGGCGCCTCCCTTGTGTTTTAAAGTGTCAACTTATTCCTTGAAACACATTAACTAATGAGCATATCTCCTCTCTTGTTGCAGTACAAATACTACAAGCACAGCTACTACTACTACTACTACTGCTACCACCACCACCACCACCACGAAACCCACTACTACCACCACCACCACAATACCCCCTACCACCACAACAACAACCTCCACCACCACCACCACAAAACCCACTACCACCACCACAACCACCACCACCACAAAACCCACTACCACCACCACCACCACAAAACCTACTACCACCACCACCACCACAAAACCCACTACCACCACCACAAAACCCACTACCACCACCACAAAACCCACTACCACCACCACAAAACCCACTACCACCACCACAAAACCTACTACCACCACCACCACCACAAAACCCACTACCACCACCACAAAACCCACTACCACCACCACAAAACCCACTACCACCACCACAAAACCCACTACCACCACCACAAAACCCACTACTACCACCACCAAACCCACTACCACCACCACCACCACTACAAAACCCACAACCACCACCACCACAAAATCCTCTACCACCATTACCACCACCACCACAAAAACCCCTAACACCACCACCACTTTCAAATCTGCGTCCCTTACATGCCAAATAGGTTTCCAAAACGGCTGTTTTGTGTGGACGTCGCCTTACTTCGGGATAAATAACTACCCCGACAACTTCTACTGTTCTCTGACTGGATCCTCGGTAAGTGAGACCTGAACCTCCGCCTCTCGTGTGTCTTTATAAGGAGCTACTGCACCTTTATCTCTTATGCCTGAAATTGATGGAAAAATTATGGATAATCTTCATTTCTCACACATCAACACTGAGAGGTTTAGCAGGTCAACTTTCTAACATCTTCTCATGACACTGAGAAATTGGTAAGCCTGTGATGGAGTAATTTTCACATTGAAAAGCAAGAGACCCGGGTTCGAATTCTTGGCAGGGTTTAGTACCGTTCTTTTATTTTGCTGTTATTGAGCATTAAGCACTCACTGTGTATCAGGATGGACACCGATTAGCATAAAATTGGTTTCAATTCTGGAGGCAGAGACAGTACTGGTAGTCACAGCGCTGCTGTAACTGGTAGAATCATAGCTTGTCTGTGTCTGGTAGTCATGGTGCTGCTGTAACTCGCATAGTAATAATCCTATTGTAACTGGTTAATACACACATGACATCACTGTTGTACCTGGTAGAATCACAATGTCTCTATTAGTTACAGTGGATCTGTAACTAGTACAATCATAGCGCTGCTGCACCCTGTAGAATCATAGCTTTTCTGTACCTGATCGTCATAGTGCAGCTGTAACAGGTAGAATCATAGCGCTGTAAAGCCTGGAAGAGTCATCGCGTTTCTATAACTGTTAAACATAATGCTGCTTTTATAAACATACAGCATGTTTCCTGACGAAGGTTCCTTCTTTACCCCGGCAGTCTGACCCTAACCAAGTCACCTACATCGCCAATACCTTCGCCCTAATATCGCCTGATAACGTCAGCATCACCTACCCTTACAGCCGGACGAATAGGTAAGTGAATAATTCTCGTTTATCATAAGGAGTCCTTTGCTGTGTTTGTTGTTCAGAACCGTTTATGATAAAAATGTTATGCATGTGACATAATTAAAGATATAAGATTAATTATTTACTCTTTGTATGGAAATGATGCAGAACAAGATGTCGCTCCGCATCTCAGATACGAGAGGATATAAATTAATATTTCATGCTATTTGGGAAACGCGTCATGTCACCAGCAGCTTCAGCTGTCACTGTTCACTGTACTGCACCTCCATGTATGTACAACTCCCCACTGCTATAACATCTTGTGTTTTCTTCAGTTACACCGGATCAACAACCTGGACGTTCTCAGCCCCGAACTTCAACTTTAATATGATGTTCCAGTCAAATAATCTCCTTAACGCCGCCGGCTTCAACATCTCCATCTGTCCTCGGCGAACTTCATGCCACAAGGTAAATTTATTTTATTTTTTTTTTGCTTATTATGAAACACCATGTTTCATAACTATCTTGGTCGTGTCGTGTGGTCTGTAATTCAAAATATCATTGCAATATGTTATACTATGACCATCCATACTATCATAGCTAGTTTTGGCTCGTTCTACTTTTTGATCTCGCTTGTTGCAAGCTTGAACTGCACTTCACTGTAAAGCTATCCATAGCAATGCGTGGATTCTTGAACTGTATTTCATTTTGTGCCTTTAATCAGATATAAGATTTATTGAAGTGACTGTATATCTTCTTGCCGTTTGTATCGGAGGAGGTTTTTTATGTAACCACAATTGATTATTAATCAGTATGTATATATATACTTAAGTGTTGAGCTTTTTGTTTTGTTTTATTATTAACGCGTTTAGATACAACTACATTTGTGCAGCTATCATAAACTAAATAAACGTGAGTACTGAGTGTGTCAAAAACCTAGCTGTGTGATGCTAAAAATTAGTTTTTGACACACTCTGTACTCTCCTTCATATAGTCAGTGCTGAACATAGTCTAGGACTATAAGAAACTCTCAGCGAGTATACTAGTAATATAGTCATCATTCCCATCACTCTTTTCTCATTGTTATCATTATTATTATTTTAATTTTCGCCTTGTTATCATTATTACTCACGCCACTATATTTGTATCATCAGCTGCTCAACACTTCTATTGTGGGAAGTGTCGGCTACGACCAAACACCAGGCTTTTGGAACCTGACTACCCACACAACGCTGACGCAGTGTGAATGGTGGCTCGTGGTAAGTCAGTAAACGGACTAGACCTCGTAGCAGTGGCAAACGTCAGGTAGACGACAAGATGGTAAGACGACAGGACTAAGAAACCATTTAGACACCAAAAAGGCATTGCAAAATCATTCTCAATTTACAAACAGTGGGTTTGTCCGGACAATCGTACCCAAGCGTCTGTTCCTTCGGTTCTGGGAGCTGCTACCGGGTGTAGGGTCCAAACTAATTTTCTTTAGGGTAATTTTCTTTTCTGTAGGGTCCAAGTTGATATAAATGTTATATTTATCAGCCCCCTGATAAAAAACAAGTGTTATAAAGGTGAAAGTCTAAAGCTACGGCATTTAAACAAATTAAGGGCTTTTTTTGGTTATAGTGGAAAGATATTTAGGAACTCTGACTTTCCGGGCTCATCTCATTGATGTCCTCTTGACAAGATAATTATCTTGGCATTCCATACACTAATACTAATCTCATACATCCACGCTGTTCTTATACGCACATCCACACTGTTCTTATACATCCAATACACTGTACTTATACATACTGTTATACACTGTTTTCATTCATACTTCCACTGTTTTAATACGAATATCCACACTGTTTGTACACGGACACACGCTTTACTAATATGTACATCATCACATGTATATACCTGCTACAGAAAACTCTACAAATAGAGCCTCACCGAAAACCTCGTATCCTGGGAACATTTGTGTTGAGGAGAAAATGTTATACTATATATTTACCGTCACGGTGAGATCAAACGTAAATGGAAGTGGAAAGGGAGACGGCGAACGAGCGGTTTGATTCCGTAACTTACATTTTCCATGCAAAAGAGCCAAGTTCTTTTAACTCTTTAGTATCGGAGCCAAAAAACTTTTATCATATAAATTATTATAAGAGACAAGCAATTTTTATAATAATTTTATAATTCAGTATTATAATTAAATTTTAATATTATTATACATTTTTTTTAATTTTTGTATAATTATAAAATAATTTTGTTTAATTAATAATAAACCTTATTATTGTTATTGTTCATAGAAGTAGTGATAGTATGATTTATGTTTTCATTATTTTCTATGTTGTGTTGTTATTTTGTTTTTGTTAAATGAGAACTATAAAATAATCCACTACCTTTACCAGGCACCAGCAGGAAGCAGAATCTTTGTCGGCATATACTACTCAACCCTGAATGCTACAGGATGTCCGTTGAACTACGTTACTGTGAACGGCAGGGGAGAGAAGACCTACCCGGCTGCGACCTCCTCCATCTTCTGCGGCACTGGTTTCAAGACCTTCACCTCCACAAACAACACGATGTACATAGCTTACCAGGGCCAGGCGGGCCAGAGCTCCGGCATGTTCTTCACTTACATTGTCCTGTGATCCTCCCCCAGGACACTGACTGAAACTAAACTCTCCTGATTCGGCACTGAAACTAATGCCGAATCAGGAGATAACTCTCACTAACAACTCCAGAATGGAATGTGAATCACAACTCTCGAAGGTCTTTCATTTAATCATTTATTTCTCGGAGTCTTCTGGAATTGTATTATTTATTTAGTGACTAAAATATTTGAGGTTTGCTGCTAAGAAATTATTACCTCTTGTTATTGCAATTATTGATTTTTTTATGTAATTATTATTAATAATATTCATAAAGTTCTCCGTCTGTAACTTGCTTAAATAAAGTCTGCTGACAGATATTGTTTAATTTATATTAATGGGTTGTGCATCTCACTATACAACCTGGAAACTGGAGAAGAGGAAGAAAGGAAGGACCAGAAAATACATCAACATAGATGACTCGAGGTAGAAACGTGTTTATCCCAAGAAAACATTATGCACGACAAACATTACTTAGAGCATTTAGCCAAATCTTGATACAGTTGTATATCTGGAAACTTGGCTGATAACGTGAGTGTTACATGTAACAAGATGGAATGGTAAATTAAGAATGGTGTCCCACAAATATTTAAAAAGATAAATAGTATTACATAGGTTCAAATCCCCTTCACAGCTCCTACTATTTCTTATTGAAGTCCCCCTTCAATAAGAAACAGTTTTCTTGTTCAGTTATAACTAAATTCCCCAATAAAAAGAAAACGGTTCCACTGCAAATATATCTAAGTTTCCCATTCAATGTGAAATCGTTTTCTTATACTAGCACTATTCACTAATACTGTTAACAAACGTAACTTCAATAATAAACAAATGGATAGAAGTAAGCTTAGCCACCAGACGAGACATAATGTGTGCCAACTATCTGTTACTCTGAGTGTGTCTGCTCACCAGACACACCCATACAGAACAAAAATCAACCCAACATTTAACGCACATAACCCCCACTTCCCAACCAATCACTCGTAATCTTTTCTCACACGGGCTACAGATAACCTCAATATAGACCTCACTCTACTCCAAAACTCTGAATCCCAACTTACTGTCCCTCCTATTCCACCTTGGCTTTATACAACTCCTAATACATCAATACAACTCAAAGACAACATTCCAAAGTCTGCACCAAACTCAGCCATAGCCTCAGTCTTTGTCTCAACCATGAAAAATTGCTACATAAATACCACAGCGATTTATACAGATGGATCTCGCATCATCATGAACAACGTACCCTCGGTCACTAGTGCTGTATGGATACCGGAATATCATCTCAAGCAGGGATGGCGATTACCAAACCAACTATCTGTTTCCACAGCTGAATTATATGCCTTATATCAAGCTCTCCAAATAATTACCAGTTGGAATATATACAATCTGAAGTGACTCCAAGAGTGCGATTCAAGCAATTACATACTCTTCAACAACGTGCAAAGAGTTTGTTTACCCATGCCTTCAAATTCTTCATGAACATCGATTGAACGGTTATGACACCTCTATCCAATGAGTCCCAGCACATTGTGGTATTCTTCACAATGAACTTGTAGATCAACTAGCCAAAGCGATGCACAACACGCCTCACATTACCTATCATCCAATTCCTCATGTTGCACGTAAAGGAGCCTTCAAAGATACCATCATACCATTTGCAACGAAATGGAAAACGTCATGCTTACCTTTGTACTATGGGTCCATTAAAAAAATATTGAAACTTGGAAATATGTCAGATATAAAAGCAGAGAAATTGATGTAACGATGACCAGATTAAGGCTGGGATACACCAAACTGGCAGCACACAGCTCTAAGTACAGAACAGACATTAACGAACTCTGCGTCCACTGTCAGGTGCCTGAAACAATCGAACACTATCTCCTTCACTGTTTTCGACATCATAGTGCCAGAGTAAATTTCAAACAAGTATTTATTGCACTTAAAATACCCTTTACCATCGAGCATATATTACAAGGAGGTGACCACTCGTTACAGGAAAAATATCAAATAGTCAAAGCCCTGGATAAATACCTCCAGTCGCCCAACAAATTGGGCCACATTTGATGCGTGCCACATTTATACCTGCAACCATCAACAGCTAAACACAGAAAACAAATGCCTCGTCGCAACACTAAGGATCAGCGTACGCCATAAACACAACATATCTCCCTACGGTGCGGCAAGTCTCCCTCTAACATCCACCTCTGTTTTAGTCCCCGCTCCTCTATATACAGCACAACGCAAAAACCACTTTTGAAACTCTTATCATCCTCAACATAAACGCGTCTCCCAACATCTGTACTGGTGCAGCTATTGAGAGGACAAATACCCTTCATGCAAACTGTACCTACAATCAAGAAGAAAAAAGAAGTGCCCCAAGACCAGGGTAGGTGGCTGTAGTGCCTCCAAGACTAGGGTAGGTGGCTGTAGTGCCTCCAAAACCAAGGTAGGTGGCTGTAGTGCCTCCACGTCTAGTGTAGGGTGATGAAGTGCCTCCAAGACCAGGGTAGGTGGCTGTAGTGCCTCCAAGACCAAGGTAGGTGGCTGTAGTGCCTCCACGTCTAGTGTAGGGTGATGAAGTGCCTCCAAGACTAGGGTAGGTGGCAGTAGTGCCTCCAAAACTAGAGTAGGTGGCTGTAGTGCCTCCAAGACTCGGATAGGTGGCTGTAATGCCTCCAAGACTAGTGTAGGTTAATGTAGTACCTCCAAGACTAGGGTAGGTGGCTGTAGTGCCTATAAAACTAGGGTAGTGTCTGTAGTGCCTCCAAGACAAGTGTAGGTGGCTGTAGTGCCCCCAAGACTAGTGTAGGTGGCTGTAGTGCCTCCAAGACTAGTGTAGGGGGGTGTAGTGCTTCTAACTCCTAGGAAAAGTGGCTTGGCGCTTCCCTTTTACCAGTGAAGAGAACTATGAAATTGTTCCCCAAATTGCTTTACTTTTAACACTACTCTGTAAATGCAGAAAAAAATATCCCATGAAAACACGAGGAAATAGGAACATACCTTAAAATGGTCGACTTCTGTCCCACGATGCCCTGTTATATTCTCTTACCTGTAATGATATGAAAGATATTCAGAAATATTAGTCATTTCTCCGTATACATTTCAATCATCATACACATCAAATATATTACAATCTCCATATAATTTATAAGATATAATTCATATATATGAGTAACACAGATTAAATTTATCCTTGAGGTTCTTGGTGCTGCTTACCTGTTCTGAAGGATGTGAGCAATGGGGTCCTTCGCACAGAGAGGTCAGAGTGGGAGATGTAACAGGCTTCGACTGGTATTTCTCGTAAAATACTTATTTTCCAGAGTCAATACTCACTTAGTGAAGAAATTAAACGATTTAGTGGGCCGTATTCCGGGGAATGTTAAGATTAAGGACTTGTTCGAAACGCTATGCGTGCTAGTGGCTGTACAAGAATGTAAAAACTCATGTATTTATAAGAAAAATAAATAAATAAATATAAAAGTAGGGTGTCTTATCTAAGATCCTTGTCTGTTTTTGCTGCTAACCACGAAGCTCTTTTTGGATCATCCTAGACCAGCACCAAATAATTATAGTACGGGTGGCCAATATAACAACCCGTCCTCGACTCAAGTCCATTCCATCCAGCGGTCGACCCACAGACGCATTCATAAATTTTTACACGCTGTTCATTCAAAACTGGAATTTTCTCAAATATAAATTAATACATTTATATTTGTGGTATATTATGATTATTAGGTGGTACCCCCCTAATTAATATTATAATATATTAGCATGTTGTGCATATATAGGCATAGGTTAGGTGTTTAGGTTCTGTTGGCGATTATTTGTATTTGTAGTACGTGAGTGAAGTATTTACAGCGTTGTGGTTCGAACAAAATTCGTCAGTGAAGCACTTGTTCCGGAAGTGTTCGAACGAAATCCGTTGTGAGTCATGTGTAAACCGTTTTTCATTCATTAACAGGGGGTTTGGCGGGTGCATGGAATCGCTTTTGGGTCTTTGTTTGGAGGACGGGCTGATAATGCCGGAGACGAGTTGCAGCTGTGATGAAAAGGGCTGGAGGAAGCACTGCCTAGCTTCGAATGGGTTCATGAGCAGATTAATTCGAAACCTGAAACAGAGACAATCTCAGCCCATTTATTACGCGGGGTCAAATAATTAAGTTATTACCTGTAGTTGTGTTGTGACGCGTGAGACGGAAACATCTGTAGTGTAAATGCAAATATTCATAAACTACCAGATAAGAAGATAAATTATTCATATTTGGTTAGAGTGAGTTGTATGTAAACTAGTTATTGCATCGGTAAACTGCGTGTTATCGCGAGTTTCTTCAAAAGTGTTTATATTGAGCCCGTCCTCCAAACAAAGACCCAAAAGGGATTCCATGCACCCGCCAAACCCCCTGTTTACGAATGAAAAACGGTTTACACACGACTCACAACTGATTTCGTTCGAACACTTCCGGAACAAGTGCTTCACTGACGAATTTTGTTCGAAAAACAACGCTGTAAATGCTTCACCCACGTACTACAAATACAAATAATCGTCAACAGAACCTAAACACCTAACCTAACCTAACCTATGCACAACATGCTAATATATTATAATATTAATTTATATTTGAGAAAATTCCCTTTTTGAATGAACAGCATGTACAAATTTATGAATGCATCTGTGGAGACGACCGCTGGATGTAATTTACTTGGTCTGAGAACGGGTTGATAAAATGATCCTAAAAAAAAGGGGAATACTTTCGACCAGCGGCCGGCTTCCTGTCCCCGTTGAGGGTGCTAGGAAGGGTTGTTCAAAGTAAGCCGCGAACTATTACTGGGTGGCAAGATAAAAAAAAATTATATATTGGATTTTTTATTGACGTATTTTGTGTCTATAATTTTACCGTCGTTACTAATGAATTATTAGGAGTTTTTTCAAAACCTATTGTACTGTTTAACCCTTATAAAACGCGGTATCAGTCTTATTCAGAGTACTGAATGGGTGTGTTTAAAAACGGTGCTTACCATTCTCACTTTGTGTGCCGAACACTAGGTCCCTGGCTGTTACGGGACAGTCATTATAAGTATTCATAAGCTAAGAATGCGGAATAATTCTTTGGTTTCCGGAAACAAAAATATATTATATATGTGAATATTTATAAGGAATTTCTTAAAATTAATGCTGTATATCTTGACTAATGAGTCAAAAGGCCTAAATTAGCTTACCTATTACCTTGTTTTATAATATATGTCAGACTGAGTAAGAATTGGGTCGTGACCGTGTTTGATAATATCTAACAGTGCCAGCAAACTGGGTAGCGAGAAAAAAAGAAGTGAAAAAACACTGGTGTAAATATTATCGTAAATTCTCTTATATCGTCACTGCGTTAGCCATGAGAATCGAAATTGTTAACACCAAGTAGATGGTGTCTAGACCCCGCACACAACACTCGTTCCCTCATGCACCAGATTCCTTAAGCAATATTAAATTTGTTAATGATATTAATCGATGACCATCGTAGCAATTACGATGGTCATCAATTAATATCCATTAATTTTAATAATTGCTACGATTCTCCACTTTTTTTATTTTTCTTATTTTTTTTATTAACACATTTAGGTACATCTGCATTTGTGTAGCTGCCCTAGACTATATGAAGGGGAGTACAGTGTGTCAAAAGCTAGCTATGTGATGCTAAATTCCCCATCACACAGGATGGTTAGTCATACAGAATTATGTGATAAGTAGTCTGCACTGGCAGACTCCGGGTGCATTATGAGGATATCATCATGAACACAAGAGTGAATAAGATAGCAGTGATACTAAAAGTCTCCATCTCGCAGGATGGTTAGTCATACAGGGCCATATGTTCAGTAGCCTGCACTGGCAAATTTTGGGTGAATTATGAGGATATCGTCAAGAACACGAAAGTGAATAAAATAATTGCAATGCTCCAGGCGATTCTCCACTTGCAAGTTCGTAGCAATTACTCTCGGCTCCTTCCACATCACATTTCATGGAAAGAGAACCCCCAGCAATTATTCACAGGTTCTGTACAATCACTTTCTAGAGCGAAAGCACCCTCACTATTGCTTCAGGTTTTTCTAACATCGAATTTTAGGGGCAAGTTCCCGCAGCTAACACTCTTGGCTCTTCTCGCATCATCTCTAATGGGGTGAATTTTGTCTCTCATTTGTTCTACCTTATTATATTCGATAAAAGGTTTTCACAAAATAAAACATTTATATCATATTTTTTAATTCCCTAATTACTTTTCCCTTCCCCAGAAAATCCAAATTGGTCATCCAAGATCTTACTGCAAATACCGCCAACTGACAGTAGCAAGGCTGAGTACTTTATGACTGAGCTTCTTGCTCTTGGCAACTCCCTTCACCTCCAGACCTACATATTGTGTAGGCAGATTTCCTGATCCGACACCTGTTTGGTTGTCGTTATGTTTCTTACTGATGCGGACGGTAAAAGCCGAGTATTAGATAGATACCTGGATCTATAATGATCTATAATTGCCACCAATCTTCTCCAGGACTGCCTCTAGTAATCCAACATGTTCATCCACCTTCACGAGGAATACTCCCAGGAAATCAAGCATAGCCATCCCAATAAAGTAAATTTAAGAATATATAACAGCAGAGTTTATATAAGTTACAGGTGGTTGTGCAATATTACAACTTATCAGATTGATATTAGTAGAAAGATAATCAAGCGGAAAGCGCCAAGCCATTACGACTATATGGCACTATGGAAATAATGATTTGTTTCTTAGTTTGAATAATATTAAACAAATAATAAATAATAATAATAATAATAATAATAATAATAATAATAATAATAATAATAATAATAATACAAATAATAATAATAATAATAATAATAATAATAATAATAATAATAATTCAAATAATAATGATAATAATAATAATTAGGGTGATAATATTAATAATAAATAATGATAAATATTTACAATGAAATAATAAGAACGTGAAGTATCTATGAAATGCATCTCATAGATATATAAATATGATAATTTTTATTATTTAGAATGGATTTCCAAACAAAACCGCCAAGTGAACGACAAAAAGCACACAATTAAACAGGTCTAACTATTATTGAAGGGCCGTCTATGGGATGCCCAATCTAGTCCGTTGCTTCGCAGGAATAACAGGTTTCGTCCTAGGGGCTCACTCGACATTATAACTGAAGCCCATACCACTGCTTTGGTCCTTATGTCCCTGGTAGGTAATGCACAACATATTGTCGGTGGAAGTGACAGTCTGGTGGCCAGAGCCGCAGTAGATGGAGCTTGTTTCCATCGGGTACTTCCTGTCACCCCTGCCGTTAACACAAGCGTAATTCGAAGTGCAATCGTGAGACTCGTCCATCTTGGTTTTTATATTGACGCTGATTCGCTTGCCTTTAGGGGCCTGGTACATGGAGTGGACAATGAAGTGTGTTAGTCTGACTATTTGGAGCCAAAGTGGCCACACAGCATCCTGGTAACGGATAGACTGGGACCCGCGTCACCAAATTAACTCCAAACGGAAATTTGAAGGAAAAACATAATGGAAAGATAAATAACAATTAAATCTCAAAATTAAAATAAAATGGAAAGGAATTTCTCTTAAGTGAGCCCCCCTTTCCCTCTGGTTGGTCCCCACTCCAGCTCGACCTCCCCATCTTCTGCTGACCCCCTTCTCTATCTGGACCCCCTTTCTGATTATCCCTCCTCTGGCTGTTATTATGTTACGATCAAATAATCTATGGCACATACTGTATTTAAAAATAGAGGGATCTAAACGTAAGATCTGTATCTAAAAATAGTGTTACAAAATAGCAATTAAAACATCATTAATCACTATTAAAAATTAATCACGCGCAGTTTAATACTACTCACAAACACAGACCAGAGGACCATGCAACTTGTACACTTGAAGTGGTAGGGTGATTCATTCTCCAAGCACTCCATCATTCACGCATCCTCAACGTGCATCTTAACATTTTTCTTGCCCGCCTCTCATTATAGTGACTCATCTCGAGGCAGTGACTCATTCAGATGTTATGGCTCGCCTCATTAATAGTGACTTGCCTCGAGATAGTGATTAACCTAGCTACAGTGACTCACCTCAATCCACCATTCACATTGGGTCAGCTCTGAATGTCTCTTATTGGATCGGAAATCGGGTGTTTCTTCGTAGCCTCGAGTTCCAGAAACCGAGGTCTTGATGATCTGAAAACCATACAAAATAAATATTAATTGATAACTGATCGTGAATACCACAAGAGATACAATAACATGACACTGCTAAATCCTGTGCAATGCAGAGCGAAAAATGAGTAACTGATGTCACTACAAGGGTGTCACATTCAAATTGGGTATTGCAATTGTGTGAATAATGCCCTTAAGATCAACCTAATGTAACGGACTCAATTTCAAAATTGTTGTTTTACCACGTAGGAACGCTGTCTGCTCTGCTACGAAGGGGCAATAGTGATGAATATGGAAAATTAATGACATTAAGGCCATTTAGTTCTTTCCACATCCAATAATCAATCTCTCGTCACTTGAAAGGAAGTCATTACAGGCTCTAACTATCCCGGCTCCTCTTTACAAACTTGAATTTATGCTGTCAGGTTCTGGAATGACGTCGGATATTGGTAAAGGAGAGGACATGAAATCTGTTGTTGTGTTGGTGTCCAACACACAAGACCTTCCTTAAACACCCAACACTGCTCTCCAACACACAGCACTGCTCTCCAACACCCAACACTGCTCTCCAACACCCAACACTGCTCTCCAACACCCAACACTGCTCTCCAATACCCAACACTGCTCTCCAACACCCAACACTGCTCTCCAACACCCAACACAACTCTCCAACACCCAACACAACTCTCCAACACCCAACACTGCTCTCCAACACCCAACACAACTCTCCAACACCCAACACAACTCTCCAACACCCAACACTGCTCTCCAACGCCCAACACAACTCTCCAACACCCAACACAACTCTCCAACACCCAACACTGCTCTCCAACATCCAACACTGCTCTAAAACAACACTGCACTCCAACATCCAACACTGCTCTCCAACATCCAACACTGCTCTCCAACATCCAACAATGCTCTCCAACACCCAACACTGCTCTCCAACACCCAACACATCTCTCCAACACCCAACACATCTCTCCAACACCCAACACATCTCTCCAACACCCAACACATCTCTCCAACACCCAACACATCTCTCCAACACCCAACACATCTCTCCAACACCCAACACATCTCTCCAACACCCAACACATCTCTCCAACACCCAACACATCTCTCCAACACCCAACACATCTCTCCAACACCCAACACATCTCTCCAACACCCAACACATCTCTCCAACACCCAACACATCTCTCCAACACCCAACACATCTCTCCAACACCCAACACATCTCTCCAACACCCAACACAGCTCTCCAACACCCAACACAGCTCTCCAACACCCAACACAACTCTCCAACACCCAACACAACTCTCCAACACCCAACACTACTGTCTAATACTTAACACTGGAGTTTTAATTAATTTTCCTCATTGAAAATATATATATATATATATATATATATATATATATATATATATATATATATATATATATATATATATATATATATATATATATATATATATATATTTCATTGAATATGACCGCATATTCTGTATTTATTATTTTCTGGTTTAGGGCTTCTATCCCTCTAACTATTTTCTTAGCATCAGGGCTTAATTGAAATAGGAGTTCTCCAAAACTCATTTTCGTACTTTTAAGGCGAAGAAAAGAAGTGATTTACTATAGAGTGTATTACACTCTAACATATAAAAGAGGAAAGAATAATGAAAGAAATAATCCGTAAAGGAGTAAAAAGCACTACCCCTAACCAAAACATAAACCTGATAATATTCTACAAAACCAAGAAGACTTCCGAACTCCTTATCAAAAACAGCCCGAAGCCGACGGAGAACCCTCTACAGCAGTCAAGCGTTGTATACATGTACACTTGCCCCCACGAAGGATGTAACCTTCAATGTAAGTACATAGGTATGACGTCGACCAAGCTGACGAGGCGTTTGACATGCCATCTTCAATCTGGTGCGCCTAGGAATCACATGAGACAAGCCCATGACATTACTCTAACAAGAGAAATGTTGAACAAGAATACTTGCATAATAGACAAAACCCTAGATGCAAGAAGATTACAAATTCTTGAGGCAATTCACATAAGAATAGAGCGACCTACCATGAACACCCAAATCACGGAACTATTTACTCTACCCACCATGAGAGTAAGGACAAGACAAGAACATATCGATGCCAACACAGAAGACAATGTCCAACATAACAGGCCAATTACACTGGATTAATCTTTGTTTAGATAGGAGATGCCTCGTATGGGCCAATAAGCCTTCTGCAGCCTCTATGTTTCACCTCACATTTTTATCCCTTATGTATCCCCCCATGTTTTCACCTTCATTGTATTATCACCTGACCCAGTGCGGGTATAAAATCAACTAGTATTGGAAGATCTGTTCACTTGAGAATGAACCATGGAGGTTCGAAACGTCGTGCAAATTATATAAATAAGTGTAATACACTCTATAGTAAATCACTTCTTTTCTTCGCCTTAAAAGTACGAAAATGAGTTTTGGAGAACTCCTATTTCAATTAAGCCCTGATGCTAAGAAAATAGTTAGAGGGATAGAAGCCCTAAACCAGAAAATAATAAATACAGAATATGCGGTCATATTCAATGAAACATGTTTAAAAGAAAACCTGCTGCCAGTATACACCAATATATATATATATGTATATATATATATATATATATATATATATATATATATATATATATATATATATATATATATATATATATATATATATATATATATAAAGGAAAAGAATTGGCGATTTCTCCCAATATGAAACAATCCCTCCTAAACCATTAAAGACGTTATCTTAGGGCAGACGCCGATGTTAAAGGCCTCACCTTATGGCATGGTGTTTTCTTGGGACAGACGCTGATGTTAAAGCTGCCGCCAGTATTGTGTCTCTTTGCCGCGAATTTCATGTTGAAGTTACAGTTGGGAGTGGTGAATGACCACGGCTTATTTCCGGAGAGACTGAAAAATCACATAGCATGCATTGTAGTGAGGTCAAAGCTAAGGTCAAAACTGTCCCAAACATTTTTCGTCGTGTTTAAATGGATGAAAAATTTGATAAATTGCCACACAGATAATTCATATATATTTATTATATATATATACATATATATATATATATATATATATATATATATATATATATATATATATATATATATATATGCGAACAAGCCTGAATGGTCCCCAGGACATATGCAACTGAAAACTCACACCCCAGAAGTGACTCGAACCCATACTCCCAGAAGCAACGCATCTGGTATGTACAAGACGCCTTAATCCACTTGAGGCTATCACCTCATTTTGTCCGGTCGTGATGGTCAAGTGGATTAAGGCGTCTTGTACATACCAGATGCGTTGCTTCTGGGAGTATGGGTTCGAGTCACTTCTGGGGTGTGAGTTTTCAGTTATATATATATATATATATATATATATATATATATATATATATATATATATATATATATATATATATATATATATATATATATACATTTTTTTTTAACCTAGAAGGGGTACCACCTCTGTTATATATATATATACCATATATATATATATATATATATATATATATATATATATATATATATATATATATATATATATATATATATATATATAAACATTTAATTTAACAGTTTAATTGATTCATTGAAGTGCATGATGACCAGACCACACACCAGAATTGAAGAAACGACGACGTTTCGGTCCGTCCTGGACCATTATCAAGTCGTATGTGATACGACTTGATATATATAAGTTACGACTTATGGTAATATTAATATATGTATATATATATATTTAAAAAAAAACGCAAATAATATGACAGGAAAAGAGGAATATCAATTTACTCACGTAATCGTCCTATTGTACGGAAGACTGATGCTGACATGACTATGATCACTGACTTGGAACTGATGAGCCTCGAATCTGACTTTGTGAGGAGTACTCTGACAAGGAAAATCATCGAAAGAAATGAAGCTGGTTAATAATCATCACATTAGTAATAGAATTAGTTGCTTAGGAATACTTTGTCTAAGTCATTAGAAGATAAAACTGAGCTGACTATCACCAAGACTAACTCAACCTTGTCCAGAAATGTGTCAGATCAGCAAATGTTAGGAGATAATCGGTGAATGTGTGTTTGGATGTGGAATTTTGTATGTGGTGATCATGTCTTTCCAAACTCTTCCGTCTTCCAGCGATGTGATGCGCATTTCACGCAGCCTTTCCTCGTAACTCATGCTTATTAGTTCTGGGACTAGCCTAGTTTCATATCTCTGAAATTTTTCCAGCTTCGTCTTGTGCTTGACATGGTACATGTTCCATGCTGGGGCCGCATTCTCCAGGATTGGTCTTACATACGTTGTATACAATGTTCTGAAAAAATCCACCCTGGCATCCACCTTGGCATCCGCCGCCGATGTTATTCTTTTGATGTGGAGTTCAGGAAACAGATTTGGCGTGATATCAACTCCTAGATCTTTCTCTCTGTCCGTCTCGTGAAGGACTTCATCCCCTATTTTGTATCCAGTGTCTGGCCTACTACTTCCTCCACTTAGTTACATTTACTTGGGGTGAATTTTAGTAGCCATTTATTGTGCCATTTCTTTAGCTTATCTAGGTCATCTTGTAGCTTCATACTATCTTCCTCTATCTTAATCCTCCTCATATTTTTTACATCATCAGCAAACATTGAGAGGAACGAGTCTATTTCCTCTAGGAAATCATTTACATATATCAGAAACAGTATAGCTCCAAGGAGTGATCCCTAAGGGACTCCATTGGTGATGCCTCGCCACTCCGAGACCTCACGCCTCTCAGTGACTCGCTGTCTTCTGTTGCTTAGGTACTCCCTCATCTATATTTCTGCCTCCCTTCTCACCCTGACGTATTCATTAATGGTGCTAGGGAATCTTTCTCTTCTCCCTTGGGTCCTGTTATTTCCATAGTTTCTCCACGCCTTTTTACATAGTTGCTTTGCTAGCTTACATCTCTGATTAAACCATGGGTTTTTCTTCTGCATTTAATTTGTTTTCCTTTTGGACTAGGACGAACTTGTCTGTTGCCTCCTTACACTTATGTGTGATGTGGTCCTTCATGTCTTGGGCCGTTTTTCCTCTGAGCTCTGTTTCCAAAGTTATATCTGATTTTTTCTTATCTCCTCATAGTTTTCCTTTCGGCATGCGAGCCATTTGTTTTCTGGTCCCTTCCTGAGTACATTAACCCTACTCTGACCAGATACTCAAACATCAGTACACTGTGATCGCTTATTCCCACGGAAACTTCGAAACCGATTTTCCTTACGACGGAGTCATTCAGAGTGAAGACTAGGTCGAGTCTCGCTGGTTCATCGTCGCCTCTCATTCTTGTGAGTCCCTTGACATGCTGACTTAAAAAGGTTCTTGTCGCCACTTTCAACAGTTTAGCTCTCCATGTTTCCTCACCTCCGTGTGGTTCCTAGTTTTCCCAGTCTTCTGTGATTGAAGTCCCCCATGATGAGCAGATGGGAACTATTTCTACAGGCAGCAGTGGTTACTCTCTCAATTATAGTGTTAACTGCCATGTTGTTTTTGTCATACTCATGCCTGGGTCTTCTGTCGTTTGGTGGTGGGTTATATATCACTGCTACTACTACTCTTGGTCCTCCCAACGTCAAGGTGCTTGTTATATATTCTCTGAACCCCTCGCAGCCTGGAATATCCCTCTCATTGAAAATGAGAGGGTTATTCTCTGGAATAACCCTCTCATTTTCTTTCTCATCAATAGGGGCACTCTGTCTCATACCCTTCCTTCCCTTTCTCTCCTTATTACTGTGTAGTCCTGGGGAAGCACCGCCTTCGTTTTCATTCCTGAAAGTTTTGTTTCCGTGAGTCCAATTACATCCAGGTTCCCTTTTTGTGCTCTTTCCGTAAGTTCACTTGCATTGCTAGTAATCCCATCTATGTTTGAGTACATTACCTTGAAACTGACTCTCTTCTTTCCATCCTCAGTTTCTGTTGATTCCACTGGAGTAGAGGACAAGGAGTGTCCGGGGTGGGAGGGCCTAGGAAGGAGGATCTGGGGTGTGAGAGGACAGTGAGGATCAGGAATGGGGAAGCTAGGAGGGTCTCGGGTGGTGTAGCTGGGAGCGATGGTTGGGGAATGAAGGGAAACCTGGTGTAAGGGGTCCGGGAGGTCAGGGGTTGGGAAGGTAAGGGAAGCCTGGGGTGGGGGGGGGGTAGGAAGGGAGGGGGGGCAGGGAGAGAGGGGGGCAGGGAGGGAGGGGGCAGGGAAGGAGGGGGGCAGGGAGGGAGGGGTGTTTGATAGGTAGGAGGATCTTGGTGTAGGGGTTCCGAGGAGGGCATGGACTGGAGAAACAGGGGAGGGCATGGGGTGTAAGAACAGGGAAGGCCTTGGGTGGGGGAAGGGTTTGGGGAAGAAGAAGGGCATAGGTAACATGGGGGGCTTGGGGTCGGGGAGCATGGGGGCATGGTCTGAAGAGGGTCTTTACTGGCTGGGGAGGTGCAGGTGATTGTGTCGGAATGGGCATGGGGTAGGAGGTTTCTGTTATATTCCTCCCTGGGGATACTGGCCTGATGGTGAGGGGGATTCCCACTCCTTTCTGAGGTTACTGGTGATTCAGAGCCAAGTCTTGTTGCTCCCCCATTTACATCCCTCCCCTTTGCGTCTCCTCTTTGCTTCTGCAGCTTTACTTTTCTCTTCCCTCGTCATTTGAAACTGTGTGTGAAGTCTGCCTCCACCACATCACTGCTTAATGTATTAAATCTGTTAACTATAACTGACACTGAAAAAGTTCTTTCTAACGTCCCTGTGGCTCATTTGGGTAACTCAGTTTCCACCTGTATCCTCTTGTGCGTGTGCCACCCATGTGGGTTTATCTTGGAAGTGTGTGTGTGTGTGTGTGTGTGTGTGTGTGTGTGTGTGTGTGTGTGTGTGTGTGTGTGTGTGTGTGTGTGTGTGTGTGTGTGTGTGTGTGTGTGTGTGGTGTGTGTGTGTGTGTGTGTGTGTGTGTGTGTGTGTGTGTGTGTGTGTGTGTGTGTGTGTGTGTGTGTGTGTGTGTGTGTGTGTGTGTGTGTGTGTGTGTGTGTGTGTGTGTGTGTGTGTTTCTGTGTACGTTGTAAAGAGCTATGACATACAGACCCTAAGTACTGGTACAACTTACCGAGCGTCCAGAGACTGAGCACTCATGGAAGTTGTAATGGGTCTTCTTCCCAAAGGAAGGTGATGTCCAATGGAAACAGCCGTTCACGTAACGCAATTTGCATTTGCTTTTGGGAGGTGATGTTATTCCAATGGTTGATTTCGTAGTTGTGGTGGTGGTGGTAGGAGGGGTCCTTGTATTCGAAGGACAAGTGACAGCAGTGGTAGGAGGGGTGGTAGTAGCGGTTGGAGGGGTGGAAGTAATATTAGGAGGTGTGAATTCAGTAATGGTAGGAGGTGTGAAGTCAGTAATATTAGGAGGTGTGAAGTCAGTAATGGTAGGAGGTGTGAAGTCAGTAATGGTAGGTGTGAAGTCAGTAATGGTAGGAGGGGTGAAGTCAGTAATATTAGGAGGTGTGAAGTCAGTAATGGTAGGAGGTGTGAAGTCAGTAATGGTAGGAGGTGTGAAGTCAGTAATAGTAGGAGCTGTGAAGTCAGTAATGGTAGGAGGTGTGAAGTCAGTAATATTAGGAGATGTGAAGTCAGTAATATTAGGTGTGAAGTCAGTAATATTAGGAGGTGTGAAGTCAGTAATGGTAGGAGCTGTGAAGTCAGTAATGGTAAGAGCTGTGAAGTCAGTGATGGTAGGAGCAGTGAAATCAGTAATAGTAGGAGCAGTGAAATCAGTGATGATAGGAGCAGTGAAATCAGTAATGGTAGGAGCTGTGAAGTCAGTAATGGTAGGAGCAGTGAAATCAGTAATGGTAGGAGCTGTGAAGTCAGTAATGGTAGGAGCAGTGAAATCAGTAATGGTAGGAGCAGTGAAGTCAGTAATGGTAGGAGCAGTGAAGTCAGTAATGGTAGGAGCTGTGAAGTCAGCAATGGTAGGAGCAGTGAAGTCAGTAATGGTAGGAGCAGTGAAGTCCGTAATGGTAGGAGCAGTGAAGTCCGTAATGGTAGGAGCAGTGAAGTCAGTAATGGTAGGAGCTGTGAAGTCAGTAATGGTAGGAGCAGTGAAGTCCGTAATGGTAGGAGCAGTGAAGTCAGTAATGGTAGGAGCTGTGAAGTCAGTAATGGTAGGAGCAGTGAAGTCAGAAGGTGAAAGGGAGTCGGCGACACGGGCAAGGTTCCTGACCACACATCCTGGAATAGGAACTAAGGAGACGGTAGCCGACCATCCAGGGGCGGATTTCTCAGCAGAGAAGAACAGGCTCAATGTGCTGATGGTTGCTGTGAAGACCTGGCCTGCAGTAATGTCCGTACCGCAGTATCTGCAACAGGTACGAGGCTAGTTATTGTTAATAAGAATTTGAAGAAAACAAAAGAGGGAAAGAGAGGGGGGGGGGGCAGGGTAGGAGAGAGATAGGATTTTTTATCAATGACCATTAAAAAGTGGTTTCAAAATGCTTTATTAATTACAAGTTCTCTGTCATCTGGAGTATTCACCGCTTTCCTGGATGGCCTGCTCAAACATCAATTGTTTGAATCTTAGAGAAGATGGAGAAAAGTGCGAGGAGACATTTCTCCAATCTTGGTTCGTTCTGGTTGAACTGGTCCATGCATTAGATTTTTTAATTACCACCGGAGAGATGTTAGAGGCTTTACTGTTATGTTCAAGACAACGTTCTCAATGTTTCCCGTCTATTTCAACTTTGTGGACAACCAGAAGTTGACAACCACAACACAAGGCGCTCACCAATTAATAGTTTCATACTGGTTGTGACATTGTCATAGGACATCACTCTTTCAGCGTTCTTTCATTCCTAGACTGATTTTCACATTTGTAACATGAGCGCTTAACTTGTTAATATAATTAAAATCAAGTCAACAGATCACATGAAAACTTCGGTACACACTTGGCCCTAGCTTCATTCAGCAGCTAATATGATTATTACCTAGCATTAAATACAGCTTATTCACAATGAAAACAAATAATCACCTCATCGAGTTTCTATGGTTAAGCATAGCTTAAAGTCTCATTAGGACAACTGTATCATTCCAAATGAATTTATGACAGAAGATTTTTCAATTTGTTATTAATTTTGTGGAATTGCATTATAGTACCTAGAAGGAAGGACGATGGCGAGATGTTTGTATAGCAAAAGGATGTAGATATATCGAACCGAAATGAAGAAACAACCCTGAAAACACAAACCGAAACTGTCTCTATTTTCCGCTTGTTACAACTTGTAATAAAGTTGTTACATTTTGGCTTAACGTGTTTATGACGTATTAGAACGTTGTTACAACTTGCTATATTGGTTATTATAACTGGTTAGGTAGTGTTAAAACTTGTTCGAACGTTGTACCAACGAAGTAGTTTCGGTGTGTGTTTGGCAGGAAATAGACTGTTCTGACCTCATGTGCAAAGGAGTGTGACAGGAATGTGGGTGCCAGAAGATTATAGAGAGACGAGGGAAAGTGGAGGATATAACACTATATTACAGCTTTTCTTCTACTTACACATTACCAGACATGGTGTTGGAGGTGATGATCTCCAGGTAGTCGGAGTTGCAGCAATGAGAACCGCTGCAGAGGGGATCATGGCCGCTAAGTTGGAAGCTCAAAAAGGTGATTTGAGGACAGTAGCATTCAGGAGCGTAGATTTCATAGGAGCAGCTTGTGCCTATTCAACACAAGTGATTACCGGTCTGATTATTTAATATAAATATAAGTATATATGACAAACAAAAAATACGTATATATATATATATATATATATATATATATATATATATATATATATATATATATATATATATATAAATGTCGTACCTAAGAGCCAGAACGCACTTTTCGGCCAATTATGCAAGGCCCGATTTGCCTAATAGGACGAGTGATTTTTTATTTTAATTTTTTTCCAATTGGTTTATTTGAAATATTATTATTATTATATTATATATATAACATAAATTATTGACTTAATTATGTTAGTTTAGGTTACGTTAAAATAGGTAAGGTTAGGTTAGGTTAGGTTAGGTTAGGTTAGGTTAGGTTAGGTAGGGTAGGTTACGTTCGGGCATATATCTACGTTAGTTTTAACTCAAATTAAACAAAATTAACTCATACATAATGAAATAGACAGCTTTATTACTTCGTAAGAACAAAATTAGATTTTTTTTAAATTCAGGAAAATTTGGTTTATTAGGCAAATCGAGTCTTGCATAGTAGGCCTAGTACTGTGTTCTGGCTACTTGGTTCAACATATATATATATATATATATATATATATATATATATATATATATATATATATATATATATATATATATATATATATATATATATATATATATATATATATATATATATATATATATGCGAACAAACCTGAATGGTCCCCAAGCAATATATATATAAAATATATATATATATATATATATATATATATATATATATATATATATATATATATATATATATATGCGAACAAACCTGAATGGTCCCCAAGCATATATGCAACTGAAAATTCACATCCCAGAAGTGACTCGAACCCATACTGCCAGGAGCACTCTGCAACTGGTGTACAGTACCCCTTAACCACTCGACCAACACGACCGGACAAAAGATGATGGTAGTCGAGGCTAATTCCCCATCATCCCGCCGGCACTCTGATGGTAATCTTGGGCAATGATATTTTATCAAATCACCTCATTCTTTGGGGGGCACACGTGAAGAACACAAATACAAACAAGCCTGAATGGTCCCCAGGCATATATGCAACTGAAAACTCACACCCCCCCAGAAGTGACTCGACTAAAGTGAATCATCTTTTGTCCGGTCGTGATGGTCGTGTGGTTCAGGGGCCCTGTACACCAGTTGCAGAGTGCTCCTGGCAGTATGGGTTCGAGTCACTTCTGGGGTGTGAGTTTTCATTTATATATATATATATATATATATATATATATATATATATATATATATATATATATATATATATATATATATATATATATATATATATATATATATATATATGTATATATATGTCGTACCTAGTAGCCAGAACGCACTTCTCAGCCTACTATGCAAGGCCCGAATTGCCTAATAAGCCAAGTTTTCATGAATAAATTGTTTTTCGACTACCTAACCTACCTAACCTAACCTAACCTAACTTTTTCGGCTACCTAACCTAACCTAACCTATAAAGATAGGTTAGGTTAGGTTAGGTAGGGTTGGTTAGGTTCGGTCATATACCTACGTTAATTTTAACTCCAATAAAAAGAAATTGACCTCATACATAATGAAATGGGTAGCTTTATCATTTCATGAGAAAAAAATTAGAGAAAATATATTAATTCATGAAAACTTGGCTTATTAGGCAAATCGGGCCTTGGATAATAGGCTGAGAAGTGCGTTCTGGCTACTAGGTACGACATATATATATATATATATATATATATATATATATATATATATATATATATATATATATATATATATATATATACTTGTAACAGGAAAAACTTTACCTGGCGGGTAAGGGCCTGGGTAACCAGGAGAGGTGATGAACCCAGGCTCGGTGATAATCTGTGAGCACGTTGATGAGCCGTTATCTGTTGGAGATTGGAATTATTCTTATGATGGATATTCTTATTTGCACATGAGGCAAAAGGATAAATATATTCCTGAAGCAAGTGACTGACCAGCTGGGTTCTAGATTATATGTGGGCCTGCGGAACGCTGCAAGCAACAGCCTGACTAAAAACGTTACACCAGAAAAGCCTGACCCTTGTCCGGGCTTTTAGAGCAGAATATCCCTTGAAACCAACTACAGGTAAACTACTGATAAATACAGGTAATCGCTGGACGCGCCCCCTTACGGTGAGTGATATTGATACAGGCTCCATCGAGGTACGATTGGACACCGATCAGCACCTTCTCGTCTACGCTCAGCAAGCGGATTGTAACCATATTGGAAACTGATTAGCAGTTTGTGCAGAGAAAACTAGTTGTACAAGGTTTGAGATGAGCTGTATAAAACACAGTAGTAGTAGTAGGCATCCATCAATCTCAGGAGACTATAGAGTGGCGATCTGGATGTCGGTCTGGAGTGGCCTCTCCAGGGCACCAAGCCAGGATAGGTTGATACGGAGGAGAAACTGTTACCCCATGCAGCAGGTTCCCCCCCTTTCCACGGCACCGAAAGTCTCCACTGGAAAGGCAAACGCCAATACGATTGGTTCCAGCGCCGTCGCAGAAACTGTCTAAACGAGATTGAAAGTAACAACGAACTGCCCTAGGGTCTCCAGCACCGGACTTTACCTCGAAGTTGGTAAAAGAAGGCACAGGAACTCCAAACGGCCTATTTCTAGCCTTGTACAACTAGTTTTCTCTGCACAAACTGCTAATCGGTTAGCAGCTTAGCACAGCTCTAAGCCATGTAATCAAGCCAGAAGCACACAAGAGAACAGGGGACATGTCATGAACACACACGAGAACCTTAATTATGACGATAACATGGACACATTCACGATATTTATATCAGACAGACAAGTGATACTGTGTCACAACTATGATAATGCCCCACACCAGAGACCGAGTACATGCCGTTGATCAGAAGAGTGTCGGGATGATATTGGCGTTTACGGAGCTCAATCACTCCACTGGCAATTTTGTCAGCGTTGCTGACGGCCAGTTTCTCGTTGCTTGAATCGTACTGAAAATAGCAGAAAACATATAATAAAACTTTTTGTGTCCAAAATCGTCTCACATTTCATCGCACACTCATCAATATATATATAAGTATTTCACCATCACGAACAGAAGTAAATGTTTAATTGACGTGTAACAGTATTATGGGTACACTATACTTGCTGACCTGACACACTCAGTGTACTTGATAAAGTACTTCTTCGCGTTAATAATGTCTGGGTTAGTGTATTCGAACTCCCTAACTTTGTGGATAAAATTATATTAAACTCTTCCGCTCAACTTTGCATCTTCAATTTATTTATACAAATGTAAATGAGCGCGTTTAATTATGTGTTGTATTCAAGGCTTTCGAGACGAGATGTTTTTAAGACAGGACAAAGCAAGAAACACACAAAAAAAATCCTTATTCTAATAGCAAAAGAGCCAATTGGATTATTTGTAATCGTATTTTTATATCAAAATCCCCAACGAATAAAATATAATGTAATACACCACAGCGGTTAAACAAAAAAACAATAATTAGTGCGTGGATCGTTTGGTTAGGTTAGGGTGTTTCAGTACAACATTTTCTGTCGGTTTTGGCAACAGGAGAGGACGGGCTGAGAAGACCATACACGGCCTCATGGGAGTTTATAGATCTACCGCCACTCTGATACACTGCAAGTAGTAGTAAGCATCCACCAATCTCAATAGATTATGGAATTGCGCTCTGGTTGCAGAGGCCGGAGTGTCCTATCAGAGTGTGTGTGTAGATCTATAAACTACATATATACAAATATATGAGGTGGGTGAAGATCAAATAGTGAGTGGATACGTAAGATAAGCTGTAATGTTGTTAAGCTTACTTCATTCATAGTGACTGGAACAGTTTTAATCTCAAGAATCTGTTGACAAAATACAATATGTGTTAGCATGACCTACCTGAGCGCTGGAGTCCATTACCAGAAGACCGACCACCAACATGAAGGAGCAGGGACGGACCATGATGACCCGAACGTAGATGATCAGCGTCTGTGGTCGGCATCGCCACCACTCGCCTTATATCCTCGTGTCCAGCTTCACACCACCTCACGCTCTGATTGGCTCTGTGGTTCTCTTGACTGCAGGGTGCCAAACACCACCAGTTAAAAGTCGCCTTTACGACAATGCCTTAACAAAATTTGATTATTAGATCCTCAGATTCGAAATAAAAATTATACAATTATATAAGATATTTCGATACAAAGAATACACGAGTGTATCTAATATTAGTGGACATAAACACGGTTGACAGACTCCTCAAATGATTAACACTGATCACGGTCCTTCTGCAGCTAAAGACCATTGACTGTTATTTCACATGGGTAATATAGCCTTTCTAGGAAAATTTTCTCAAACGATATCACTCACCAGATTTGACCTGATCATCTCCCATCTGTCACATGCTCAGACCTTAATTAACATTTGATAGAGATATTTATTCTTAAAAATATTCTTATTCTTATATATAAATGTATAAGACGTGGTAATACTAAGAATACACATTAAACAAGACAATTATTGTGTTCGTTGAGCTAAATCTAGGTTTTAAAATGTGTAAATGGACAGATGGAACATGCATTACATAATAGTCATATGTATAGTAAATACATGGGTCGAAGAAACTGTTCTTCATCGAATTTTGTTGTAGTTTGTTTACTTAAATTTCGTTCAAATGCATTTTATCCAGATAAGCTTTGTAAACGGTTGAGTATCTGAGGTTTACTTGAGGCTTACTCACAGCAGCTGACACTCCAACACTTGAAACTTACCCGCAGCAGCTGACACTCCTCCACTTGACGCTTACTTACAGCAGATGACACTCCAACACTTGAGGCTTACATACAGCAGGCAAGAGAACTTTGGGAGAGAACACAAGAAGTTAACACGGATGTAATAGGACTCACGGAAACAAAACTCTCATGAATTATAACGAATCATAACGTTTCCCCAGGACTGCACTGTAATAAGGAAAGAGAGGGAAGGAAGGGAGGAAGTGGTTTGGCCCTACAAATGAGAGAGGAATGGAGTTTTCAAGGAGATGGTTATCTCAGCCTGCGAGGGGTTCAAAGACTACATTACAGGCACCATGACGATGGGAAAACCAAGAGAAGTAGTAGCAGTGATATATAACCCTACACCAAACGACATAAGACCCAGGCAAAAGTACGACAACAACAACATGTCAGTTAACACTGAAATTGAGAGGGCAGCCTGTGTTGCCTGTAGATATAGAGTCCATCTGATCATCATGGGGGACTTCAATCACAGAAGGATAGACTGGGAGAACAAGAAACCGCATAGAAGAGAGGAAACATGGTGAGTTAAACTGTTGGAGGTGGTGACAAAAAACGTTCTAAGCCAGAATGTCAGGGAACCCACAAGAATGAAAGGCAGCGATGAACCAGTGAGACTCGACCTAGTCTTCACTCTGAACGACTCTGACATAAGGGAAATCGGTGACAAAGTCCCGGTAGAAATGAGCGACCACAGTGTACTCACGTTTGAGTATCTGGTCGAAGAAGGGTTAATGTACTCAAGGAAGGGACCTGAAAACAAAAGACTGGCATTCCAGAAGGGAAACTATGAGGAGATAAGAACATTTCTAACTGACATAACTTGGGAAACAGAGCTCAGAGGAAAGACGGCCTAAGACATGATGGACTACATCACACAGAAGTGTAAGGAGGCAGCAGAAAAGTTTTTCCCAGTCCAAATGGAACAAAATTAAAGCAGACGAGAAACTCATGGTTTAATCAGAGATGTAAGCTAACAAAGCAACAACGTACAAGGGCGTGGAGAAACTAAAAATAACAGGACACTTGAGAGCAAAGAAAGATAACAGAGTTAAAGGAATGAATACGTCAGGTTGAGAAGAGAGGCAGAAAGATAATATGAAAATGATTGCAAGCAAGGCAAAGACTCAACCTAAATTGCTGCACAGCCACTTCAGGAGATAAACAAAATGAAGGAACAGGTAGTGAAACTTAGGACAGGGGCAGACAGATTCACTACAAACGACTAGGAAGTGTACGAAGAACTCAATTAGAAATTCCAGGAGGTCTTAAAATTAGAGCAAGGATAAGTTCCAAAGATAAGATAGGGAATAGATAACCAGGCACTGCTAGAGGAGTTTGGAATTACCAATGGGGAGGAAAGGAAGCTTCTGCTAGAGTTGGATGTGACAATGGCTATAGGTCAGGATGGAATCTCACCATGGATACTAAACGAAGGAGCAGAAGTGCTGGGCCTGCCACTCTCCATAGTGTATAACAAGTCACTGGTAACAGGTGAACTGCCAAAAATTTGGATGACTGCTAATGTAATCCCGATATACAAGAAGGGGGATTGGCAGAAGGCACTGAAATGCAGGCCAGTGTCCCTAATTTGCATATCATGCAAGTTGATGGAAATTATTGTGCGAAAAAGCTTGTGGAACATCTGGAGCGAAAGAACTTTGTAATACAACATGAGCATGGGTTAAGGGATGGCAAGTCATGATTCACAGGATAATTGAATTCTACGACCAGGAAAAAAACAGGCAAGGAAGAGAGGGGTGGTCAGACTGCGTAATTTTGGATTGCCAGAGAGCCTTCGACACAGTACCAGACAAGAGGTATGCACAAGCTGAAGATGCAGGCAGGAGTGACAGGGAAGGTACTCCATTGGATAAGGGAATACCTAAGCAACATAAGACAGCGTGTTACTGAGAGGGGCGAGGTCTCAGATTGGCGAGACGTCACCATTGGTGTTCCACAAGGTTCAGTCCTTGGACCTATACTGTTTATGATATATGTAAAAGATCTCCCAGTGGGAATAGACTCGTTCTTCACACTATTTGCTAATGAAGCAACAATTTTGAAGAGAATTAAGACAGAGGAAGATAGTATGAGGCTACAAGACAAACAGAATGAATGGTCAAACAAATGGCTACTAAAATTCAACCCAAGTAAATGTAAGGTAATGAAACTTGTCGGTGGAAACAGGAGGCCAGACTCAGGATACCGAATGGGAGATGAAGTCCTTCATGAAACGGACAAAGATCTATGGGTTGATATCACACCAAACCTTTCTTCTGAGGCCCACATAAAAAGAATCACATCTGCGGTGTATGTAAGGCTGGTTAACATCAGAACTGTCTTCAGGAACCTGTGTAAGGAATCATTCAGAACCTTGAATACCACATATGTCAGACGAATCCTGGAGTATGCGGCCCCAGCATGGAGCCCGTACCTTCTCAA